GACCATCTCTGAATACTAAGGGGTGTTGGGAGGGTGCTGAGAGGTCCCATTACACCTTCCTTCTGAGACCTTGGGGGTGGTGAGAGCACGAGACATAGGCAGCCCAAATGGGCCCCTCAAACGACCATTCCCTCAACACAGATCTATTTCTGAAGGGACTCGTGTTCCCTGCAATGGACATGGTAGCTGTTACATTTCAACTTTCAAAAGCATCAACTTTCCCCCCAATTTTTTACAAAAAATTATTTTTATTGTTGACAGTATTACAGATGTCCCTCATTTCTCCCCCTTTGTCCCCCCTCCACCCAGAATCTGCCCCACCCCAGGCCTTCACCTCACTATTGTCTGTGTCCCTGGGTTACGCATAAATGCATGTAAATTCTTTGGTTAATCTCTTCCTGCCCTCCCTCCCGCCTCTCCTCTGAGATCTGTCAGTCTGTTCCATGCTTCTGTGTCTCTGGACCTATTTTGTTCATCAGTTTATTTTGTTCATTAGGTTCCACATGTAAGTGAGATCATGGGGTATTGTCTTTCTCTGCCTGGCTTATTTTGCTTAGCATAATACTCTCCAGGCCCATCCAGGCTGTTGCAAAGGGGAAGGGATTCTTCTTTTTTTACAGCCGCATAGTATTCCATGGTGTAAATGCACCACAGCAAAAGCATCTACTTTTTAAACGCAAGGAGTTAAGTGGCCTCTGTTGCATCCCCTCCACTCGCTAAATTATGACCTGAGCACTCTTTGGAAAATGTAAGTTGGACTAAAGCCACTGCTCTGATGAAGACCTCAAATGTCTTCCAATTTTGGGGGGAATCAAATCTACCTTCCTTGCATTGTCCTGAAAGGCTCACGTGGTGTGCAAGATGTGTGACTTCCGTGACCCTGTCCCCTAGGATTCCTTTGCTTGCTCCTTTTATCTTGCTACTCCGTTCTCAGGTTCCTGGAGCAAGCCACATTTCTTCCCACCTCAGTGCCTTTGCACTTGCAGCTCCTTCTGCCTAAAATGTTTCCCCTGTGGCTGGGTCCTTCTTATCATCCAACATGCCCCTAAATGTCACTACCTTGACTTATATTGGTTTTCTATGACACTCAGTTTAGTTTCTATGAGAATTTTTTTAGTTTTTCCATTACTTCTTTGTGTCTGTCACTTCAAAGTAGAATACAGGCTCTGTGAAGGCTGTCCCTTGTATATGTTTCTGTGGGGTATCCCCAGTACATACTCAAGGGCCTGCTCAGTATTGGTGGGTAGAAGGCAGGAAGGAGAGAATAGATGGTTGGGGAGATGGGTGGAGAGAAGAATGAATGAGTGGGGACCCTGGTCACGTAGCTCAGTTGGTTAGAGCATCATCCCTATATGCCAAGGTTGTGGGTTAGATCCCCTGTCAGGGCACATATAAGAATCAACCTACGAATGCATAAAGAAGTGGAATAACAAATTGATGTTTCTCTCTCTCCGTTTCTCTCTCTCTCCCTTCCTCTCTTTCTAAATAAAAAAAAGAATGGATGAGTGGGTAGGTGGATGAGTGGGTGGGTGGAGGGAAGGGGAGGGATGAAGACAGGCAGGCAGGTGGGAGGGAGGGAGACAAGTGGGAGGGAAGAGGGGCCAAATATCCTTGGGTTGACATACATTCAGAAGCAGAGGTGAGTGATCAAAAATGTAAGCTCAGGAGCCCCAGTGACTGAGTTCAATCCCAGCTCTGCCACTCACCAGCTGTGTGACCTTGTGTTGTCAGCAGAACCGCACCAGAGTGTTACTGGCTATTGGACCTCAGTTCAGCAACTTCGGTTCTTGAGCTCTGGCTAAGAAAGAATTCGGGGCCAAGGCTCAATCTATGAGAGAAAATTTATTTAGAATGTCCCAGAAGTAGAAGAAGTGAGTGGTAGAAGAAATGGGCTCTGGAACAAGTTACAGAGGCAAAAGGAGGGCCCTTGGAGCGTAGGAGAGAGGAAGGTAAAGGTAACATGCCAGAGGGAAAGAAGAGGGGGAGAGGAAAGGCACAGGTGTGCTCCCGGGAGGGACAGCTGCACTGGGCCCTCCAGCTTGAGGGTATTTATCTGGAGGTCTGAGGGGGAGGATCCCAATAGAATATCTATCAGCTTTCCAGGTGTGTCCTTTCAGGTCATGGTTTCCACTGAGTGGTTGGTTGGCCCCAGGGCAGGGGGTCATTAATCAGTGCAGCTGGTCCAGATGTCAGCCATGGTGTCGCTTGTCTGACTGCTCCTTTTCTGGGCCTGGAGCCAAAACACAACTGAGGCCTAAATGTATTTGTCCTGGGGGCTTAATGCTTAAGGGCTATTCTCCAGCCCTCTTTTTTGTTCCCCCCTCTAAGGGGCTCTAACCCACATGACTAGCAACATGCCAGGGGAGGAAAGGTCAGGGGATCGAAACTGTATGACCATCCATATGTTAGGGGAGGGAAGGTTACCCTGGGGGCAAGGTCCTGGTTTTCCCAGTTTTGCCAGTTGCTAGGCACCCAGGGCTTTCTGTCCTGGTAACCGGCTGTACCTGGCCCATCCTCCCTGCTCTGCTCATGCCTGTCTAATTGCCTACTGCACTGGACAAGTCACTTAACCTCTCTGAGCCTCAGTTTCCTTATCTGTAAAATAGGGGCGATGACGATGACGGTAATAACTATTTTCTTGGGTCACTCTGAGTGAGATGATGCATCCAAGTCCTCGGCACAGTGTAAGCTTTCAGCAAGTGTCAGCTCCACTTCACTATTCCTTCTCCGGAGCTTTCCATTGCTGCAACTCTCTGATATATGGCATCAGAAAACTCACCCTGAAGATCGAGAAAAAGAAAAAAATGCTGACTTTCTTCCAAGATTTCTTCTCTAGAGAACATGAACATCCCTCAAATCAGCCACAGGGGAATTTGTACCAAGTTCCTCAAAAACAGCTAAAAAAAGAAAAAAAATAGAAGAAATAAATAGCAAGACACTTTCTTTTTTCCTTGGGACCAGACATGTCGGTTAGCTGCACATTGTTTCCCAAAAATGAGTCAATGGGGGAGATGCCATGTGAGTTTGAGCTGACCTGTGTCATCAAAACAGCATAAAATAGCCTCCACCCTCCCTGAGAACCGTCCTTCCTCGTTCGGGCCCATTTCCATGGCCTGGCGCAGGCTTAGGAATTAGACACACCCAGGTTCAGACCCTAGCGGGGACACCTCTTAGTTTGTGTGACGTTTCAGCCCTCTGAGCCTTGGTTTCTCCACCTGTGAAATGGGAATAATCTTGTCTGCCTCACATGGTTTGTGGGATAAAATGAGATCAGTTAGGTGCCTACAAAATCTAAAAGAGTAACAGCAGCAGAGCTGCAGCCATTCCCTTGCTCTTCTTTTTAGGCTGCTGGGTGTGAGTTTGCTGACTTTTGTCCCCTGGCTTTTCAAAGGTCTGCTGGAGACACACGATCCTCTCATAGCCCCTGGCCTGCGGGCAAGATGAAAACTCTCCTTAGAATCCTTTTCTCTGCTTTCCTCCTGAGTTCCCATGTGTTCATGGCTGCCCCCCCCCCCATGGCTAAGGTGTCCCCATTTAACAGATGGGCAAAGGGAGGCGTTCAGAGAGGTGCTGACATGCCCAAGGGATTGTCTCCTCCAGGGCATGGAGACAGGGTCCTACTCCCAGCAGCACTGCAGCAGGAGGCTGGGTTCAAAGGGAACAGGGGCCAAGGGATCTGGGAGGGGTCCCAAAATCAAACCTCAACTGGGCCGGGCAGGATGCAGACCAGACTGCAAACTCCAGAAGAGGGGCTGTGGTGGGGTCACTGCCACCGCCTCTCCATGGGACCTTGGCTCCTAATCTGTCTGAGCTGAGAGTGGGACTCTCAGGACCACCAGGGGCCTCCCCGTCCAGTTACGGCACCACTGCCTCCCTCCCAGGCTGTCTCCATACCTGTGGCAGTGGCTGCCCTGCCTGCCTATGGGTCATGACCTTGAGGCAGATGTCACCCTGGTAGCCTCAGGCTGCCCTGCCTGCCTATGGGTCATGACCTTGGGGCAAATGTCACCTGGCAGCCGCTAATGTGTTCGTAGCAGGTGCCCTTCGGGAGCAGTGAGCCCTGCGTGGGAGCGGCCCCCTCCCACCTCCTCTCCC